CAAAAAAAAAAAAAGCAGATGATTAAAAGTACAAAGAAGAATAAGACAGAGACTAGCTAGAAATTATATAGCAGTATATTATAAAAGAAGTGACTATTGAGCTGATTCCAGTACGGGGGGTACACTTAACTGTGAATGGGATGCAGGCAGGCATGTCCACCTACACAGTTAATTAACAACATTTCAAAGAACTCTGGAAATTCCTTTTTTGTTTAATTCAAGTATTTGAAGAAAATGGGAACAAGTTTGGAATTCATACTAGACAGATGAAAGAACTTTTAAACATTTAATATTTGCTTAAGTCGATATTAGGGGAAAGCTGGTATTCTGGAATAATTTTCTTCTAAGTCATAACTCCGCGAGTGTGAGCAGAGAGAGCTAACATGTGGTTCTCCATGCATTGACTCATGTTCTCCTTGCTCACCCTTGAAGCCACCATCCTGTGCTTTCAGTACCTTGACTCACACACTTCATGAAAAAAATACATCAAATTCTCTCTTCTCGGTCCCCTCCATTCCTTGTAATCCAATTTTTCACTCCCCAAACTCTCCTGGTATTGCATTTTATTAAAAGCTCCCCTGCCCAACCAGTCATCGAATTCAATGGTCCTTTTTTTACCAGGCTTTGAGTCTATGACCTCACCGCTTTCCCTGATTCTCTATTCTGTTGGCCTTGACATGCTCTCTCTCTCCAGGTTGTCCTCATGCCTCCCAAGCCCTTCTGCTTTGGTTTCATGTTTTTCTTCTCCCTCCTTGCTTTCTTCTTCTTTGTTCCCCAAAATGGTCCTTTGGTAATCACTTACACTTGCATAAATACAAATACCATTGTTTATATCTTTTAAATTCTAAAGAAAATTACAAAGATACCAGTTGCCAATTTTCTTAACCATGGTGTGCTTAAATCATCACGTAATACTCTAACTCCAAGAAGTGAAAGAGAAATGACATTTGAGTTATTGAAATTATTTTAAAGATCCCTCTGTTGATCTACAGTTTAGCATTAACCCATGTATTTCAAAACTACAGGCTTTGGCGTGGTAACAAAAAGCTTCAACAAACTAAGTGATCTTCTGTATTTATTTATTTTTCTTTATAAAGAATATTGTTATAGTTTTCTGTGCTGCATCTTGTCTGATGTGCCTCATCTAGGAAATTGAGTTATTGTGTGTTAAGGGTTTTTTTGAAATGTTTGAAGTCTAGCTACTGAAGGGGATTGAAATCAGACACAAACTTGCAATACAATTTTATACCAAATCTAAGTTAGAAGTTTGAACTTTAAGTATAATTTGGTACTACTGACATTCTCATTCAAATTTTAATACAGCCATTGCAAAAAACAGTACAGTTTATAAATATTTATAGTGCCAACAAATTAAGTGAGAACTACAGAGAAGGATTTTATGAGTGTAACAAATATGTATCATGAGTTCATAAATTCACTTTTGTTTTATTTGTGTAATATAAATTTTAGTCCAAGTCATATTGAAAGGAATTTAAAGTCCAGCAATAGAAAAGGCCACTGGGTAAGAATGCTTAAAGAGTAGAAATTGCTATGACTTTTGAGATCATGCCAGTTCATCCTGAACCTAATGAATTCTATTAAAACCGGAAATAATAGTTTTTCGGTTGTGATCAGGACTAACTGTAGGAGATTAAATCTGATGGTCAGGAAAGGGAGCAGTCAGCGTGCAGTTTGCCTGCAGGTAAATTGCCTTGTGTTAAACTGAATTCACTAGCTAAAGCAATTATTTTTCTATAATATTCTCCCTTGGGAGGGCACTGCAAATGATACATGTAGCAAAGCAAGACCGAAAAAAAAAAAAAGGAGAGAGAGAGAAAAGATGTAAAATATTTTCTTATCAATAAAGTGCTGTAACTGTGAAGGTAACTGAATGATACGTGTAACAAACCAACAACCCAAAAAGGAAAAAAAAAAGATGTAAAATGTTTTAATAGTGATATAATCGGAGGCATACTTACAATAGTAATAGTTTGGTTACCGACCAGGGTCCTTGGGCTCTCCAAGCAAAAGAAACTGACTAGAGACCATGCAGGAGTTCCAGGCAAGGCTTTTTTTTTCTTTTTTTTAAGATTTTATTTATTTATTTGACAGAGAGAGACACAGCGAGAGAGGGAACACAAGCAGGGGGAGTGGGAGAGGGAGAAGCAGGCTTCCCACAGAGCAGGGAGCCCGATGCGCAGCTCGATCCCAGGACCCTGGGATCATGACCTGAGCCGAAGGCAGATGCTTAACGACTGAGCCACCCAGGTGTCCCTGGGCAGGGCTTTTTCTTGGGTCTTATGCCCCAGCACAAGGGATACAGCAGAAAGGAAAGGGTCCTTCAGACTGGCTTTCAGAACAAGGACCCACAAACTTTTTTTTTTTTAATTATAGAATTTTAGAGCTGATTCTAATCATTTTTTTCATTTTTTATTGTTATGTTAATCACCATACATTACATCATTAGTTTTTGATGTAGTGTTCCATGATTCATTGTTTGTGCACAACACCCTGTGCTCCATGCAGAATGCACCCTCCTCAATACCCATCACCAGGCCAACCCATCCTCCCACCCCCCCTCCCCTCTAGAATCCTCAGTTTGTTGTTCAGAGTCCATCGTCTCTGACAGGAAAGGACTGACATTCAAGCATGTAGAGATGGGAATTTCTTGGCGCCTGAGCACTTGCAGGTCATGCTTCTTCACGTGTCATGTGTCTAATTAGCATGTTAAATCTCCACCCCTGGGCTTGATTTTTAGCATTATAAGAGGGAGGGGAAAGTAGTGAAAGGTCAATGCTGGGGTCCACCTTGGCACAGACTGGTGTGGTTCAGTCTTCCCTAGTCTTCACAGTGGAGTCCCTCTTTTGGTGAGCATCTTGCTTCCTCATTCCTGCAAGATATGCTCCTCAAGAGGTACAGAATGATGGATTTTGCAGTCAGGGTTGAGGGGACCTGAGTTCAATCCCTGCTCTGTCTCAATTTGAGTTCCTTGAGTTGAGGAAAACCTAAAACTGCAGAATAACTTTGCCTACTCACATGAACTGGACATATTTCTTGCCTCACGATTCATGTTCAAATGCATCAGAGAATAACAGGGAGTCCTTGCTCAGGGAGGTCTCACACTGGTTGTTTTAAGCCCCCACCACACATAAGTTCAAGGGCTTTCCATTTCACACCAGCTGCCCCTGTGTTTTCAGAGTTCCAAAATCAATTTCTGGACGTTAGAATTGCCCTATGCCATTGAGGTAGGGACTGTCCTCTTCCCACTGAGGTAGGGATGAGCGTCGTTTGTGTTGTGCAATTATTGGGCAGTCCCTGGGCTTCTGAGCAAAGACCATCATGTCCCCTGGACACTAGGGGCTCCAGAGTTTGTTCATGCTGATGGCTGGGAAATCAACAAAAGCTGACCCCCTCCTCTTCCTGTGGCTTCCCTGCAGGTGCAGTGTCCTGGTCCTCTCCATCATCATACTTCTTCCTTCTGGCTCCACCATGCAGCTGCAATTTTTAGGTTATTTGGGAATCAAGAGCCTGGCTCTTTATCTATTCTTTTCAATCTATTGTTATGGCAAAAACAGTATGATCTTAGTTGTTCAAGGCTGACATTCCCCCAAAATACTAAAAGGCATCTTTTGAGGATTAAGCAGCTGGGCTGTTTTCTCTGCTAAGAGCTCAGAAAGCTTATTTTGATGTGTAAATGTCAAAGATTGGCTTCTTTGTTCTTTCGCTGGCGCTGTCAGTGGTATTTTCTGGAAACAATTGAGGAAGAAGGACCCAGGTCCCTTTAGGGTATGAGGAATTGTAAGGGTTTGGAAGGGAGAACAGAGTAGGTAAAGGGATGGTACAACTTCATAGCTGAAAGTACAGACTGCATCGGATCAAGTTTGGGGTCTTTTATTAAATAAACAATTTATTTAATTTATTCATTGAATTGGACAATCTATTTTACCTCTCTGTGACTCACTTTCCTTACCTGTGTTAGTTTCATTGGAGGGCTCTCTAACAAGATACTACAAGCCTGAGGTCGTAAACAACAGAAACTTAATCGCACAATTCTGGAGGCCAGAAGTCTGAAATCAGTTTCACTGGTCTGAAATCAAGGTGTTGACAGGGCCATGCTCCCTCTGGAGCTCTAGACGAGGATCCTTCCTCGTTTCATCCACCTTTCCTGGGCTTGTGGCCACATCACTCCACTCTCTGCCTGCGTGGTCGCATTGCCTTCTCTTCCTCCTTGTGTCTGATATCCCTCAGAGTCCCTCTCATAAGGATACACGTTACTGCATCTAGGGCCCTCTCAGATAATCCAAAGAAGGTAAAATTCACAGGTTCCAGGGAGTAGGACGTGAATGTCTTTTGGGAGGACTATTATTCAGCCCACTATAAATTGGGTTTGTAAAGTACCTACATGAATATTAAAGAGATATAAATATGATAAATGCTTAGAACAATGCCTAACATGCAAAAAAGCACTCATTAAATGTTAGCCCATGATGGTAATGCTGATGAAGATGAACAAGAAAATTCAGACAAAAAGTTTCAAACTGAACAAAATAATTTTTAAAACGAACATATGTATTGGGTCTTGTCTCTGGATTTTTGATGTGCGCTAACCTTAAAATGTTACTTTTCAAAGGACTGTATCTCTATATTAAACGATTATAATCCAATAGTTTGGGCATATGGTATACACAGCCATTTGTGGTTCTGTCTTCTGTTATTTTTCACTTAAAATTTAAATCATTTCAACAATTTTGTTCATCCTGAATTCTTCCTTTTTTTAACTTTTTTCTTTTTTTCTTTAAATTCAATTAGCTGACATATAGTACATCATTGGTTTCAGATGTAGTGTTCAATAATTCATCAGTTGCATATAACACCCAGTATTCACGTGCCCTCCTTCATGCCCATCACCCAGTTATCCTGATTTCTTCCTAAGGTTGGAAATCAAAGTTGTGATATGATAAGATTGTCTCCTTTTGCTCTCTTGTCTCCTGCCCACCTAGGATACAGATCTGATGACATTCAACATTTCTGTACACCGGTCGTGGTGGCGGGAACATGGGCCTGGTTGTGTCCGAAGAGTGCTGCCTCCGTCAGCCCATGGCATGATGGACGACTACACTTACGTCTCCGTCACAGGCTGCATTGTTGACTTCCAGTATCTAGAGGTCATCCACAGTGCTGTCCAGATACTCCTCTCTGTAAGTAGCACATTTGTATTGTTGTCTGATCTAGACTCTCCTTTATTGCCATTTTGTAAGTAAACCTCTGTCCACACCCATCTGGTAGATAAAGCCTTAAGTAAGCACATGGAGAACAACCTTTAAACAATGGAAATAGCAGCAAGTATGCTAACATCAGCTATACTTAATGAGGCTACATCTTTTCCTCTTGGTATCCAGACACTTTGTTTTAGAACTAGTTAGTTGCTATAGTTCTAACAATACACACCATTCAATGAAATAGCATCACTGTCCCCCAAAAGTAGCCTTGTACATTCTCTACTTACACTTCTGCTACTACTTCTACTTCGAAAGCATTCTTTAACTACTGTGCATTAGTTCCAGAGAAAGAAGGATGCAAACACACTCAATGGCTTGCTCAATCTAATAAGCCTCGTATTTCAAATAATAAATCCTTAAAACAAATCCCTCCAAAGAGTTTTCCACATTGTAGTGCCTAAAATTTGGTGTCAAGATATAATTCCATGTAAAGGAGCAGAGAGAAGGAGTGGCTTGAATGGACCACACAAGGTTTATCTGCTGGGAATCTGTTAATTTTTTCTACCAGATTGTCCCACCTACAATTTGATTACATTGTGGAGTGGCATTAACTTAAGATATATATCATTATCAAGAATGGTGTTCCTTTGAGATCCAGCAAGGACTTGGCATGTTGAGTCAATATATAATAAAGCCATTTTCAATCACAGTTTTTATATAAACCAACCATCCATCTCAGTCCTTCTGTCCAACTGGTTAGAGATAGAGTCAGAAAAAAAGACATAGGCTCAATAGTGAATAAATAAACAACAGAAATATAAGAGGCGCATGTCAGTGAAGAATGTACCTTGGAATTATTTCTAGAAAGAAGGTTGAAAAATCCTTCCTATCACTTACTATATCTGTTATCTACTGCTGCATAACAGACCACTCAAAAATGGAATTACTTTGAGCAATATAAATGTATTGCTTAGAGTTCTGTGGGTCAGGAGTTTGGGCAGGGTTCAGCTGAGTAGTTCTTGTGTTCCACATGATATCGTGCAGGTTCACTCATATGAACCTTTCATCCAGGAGCTCTGCTGGAGCTAGAATATCCAAGAAGGCCTCACTCATATGTCTGGTGCTGGCTGTTGGACCACAGTCTCCTCCAGTCTCCTCCTCCATCTTGTCTTTTTGCAGAAACTTGACAGGCTTTCTGATAGCAAGGCAGCTAGGTTCCAAGAGAAGCCCAACATGTAAGCATTTATCTGGCATCTACTTGGGTAATGCTGACTATAGCAAGTCGTATGACCAAGCCTAAGCCGAATGTAGAGGTGTGGCTATAAAAAAGTGACAATACCAGGAGCCGTGGCTCACTTGGGGCCACCAATGTAGTGGTTTTACCTCACTTGTATAATGTATGAATTATTGTTCTTTAACCTGCATGTGCAAGTTCTAAAAAAGTGTTTTAGAGCACATTTAAAAATATAATTTTATAGAAAGATGGAAGATTAGAATAAAAAAATCAAAGCTTGTTTAGGGTTCTAGTTCAATGAAAGGCAGACTGCACAGGGTAAAAAGTAGAAAGAGGCTGGGCTTCAATACTTACGAATTTTCTTTCTGGGATGTAACAGGGAATCTGATTATTCTTGGTTTCTATATATTGCCAATTGTCAAGAGATGCTTATCAGTCTTTTCCTATTTTCTGGTTATTCTTTAATCTCCTAGTGGTTACATATGAAACTGTGGCAAATATATATGTTTAAATCATTGTTTTAAAAATATATAGAGGCAAATATGCTCTTAAAATTTTTCAGTCTATTTTAAGGTACACTAGTACTCTATTATTATATACTAGATTATAAAGGTTCTTACTCTTTTTTTTTTAATTTTTAAAGCATTTTTCTAGAGTCTTTCATATCTGGACAGGTCTCCCTCCTTTTAAAAAATTATTCATAGTAAATTACTAAACCATTTTGTGGAATGATAGCATAATGTTCAAATTTTTTATAATGCAGCGGAAGAGTATGGAATCAAAAAGTCACTTCTCCATATCAAATGAATGGCAAGGTTACAGTATTTATTTGATTATTCAGGGGCTGAATTGGCACATAAAAATATACACTAAGGAGAAATACTAAATAAAATATATGTTGCCACCTAAAGTACTTGTCAGTTATAAATTAATTCCTTGACATATTTGTTTAGTGAACATTCAAAACTGTCCACATGCATTTATAGTCCTGACTATACTATTCAGCCTTCCAGCAATAAAAGGATTAGTTGCTCATCTCTGACTTTTCTTGGGTAATACACTGTGAGACAAAATTTCCAATATTTTATCTTTTTATATTAAAATAGAATATACCCTGAAATTGTTTCACACGTGTGAAATTATTTATTATTTTGTGGTTATATGGGCTTTCTATATTTTCCACTTATTTCATACAAATGTGTTTATAATTATTAGAATTACAATTTTTAATGTGATGACATGGGAGCACTTGCTATAGTAGTTGCCAGCATGTGCTGAGATGTCCGTCTTATTCCTGAAAATGGGGGTGAAGGTTGCAATAGTTAACAGCCTGTGTTATATGGGCAACAACTTGGCAAAGGGATAAAGGGCTTTGAAATGGGGCAATGCCCTGGAAGCCTGCTGCCCTGGAGGGGGGCTGAGGGGGGACCCCTGTCATCACTAGAGGCACAGAGAGATCAAGAAGGACAGGGAGAGGCCGAGGGAGGTGGGCAGGATTATGGACTGAGGTCCTGGGGTTCAAAGGCAGCAGCTCTCTGGCAAAGTGAGAGAGAAGTATTTGAATGATTTACCCATGGATACAGCTGTGCTCTGCTGATGAATCCTACCTGTATTGTCCCACCTGAGAGTAGAGCTTGGAACTGGAAAGCATGAAATCCCAGTCATAAATATCTACAGGGACTATGTACAAGCTTGACAGAAAAACAACAACAACAACAACAACAAAAATAGCAGAATTCGGCAAGAAGGCAATGGCCTGGGATCCCCTGTGGGACCACGTGCCCGGCTCACCTGGCCCAGCACCTGCGCTCCGGCTTCTGCCCTGGGTCAGCGCTATTGTCTCTGCACAGCAGCTTCCTGTCTTGGGCTTCCTTCACCAGCACGCAGGGTGAGCGGAGGAGAGAGAGAGTGCAAGGCAGAGAGGGGCTTCCTGTGGCCCTGATCTCACTGAAGCCTATAGCAGGGCTCCTGCAAATTGTCAGAACACCAACTTAAACTCCAAGGTAGAATCCAGAGAAAAACTGTGGGCAGTATGAGGAGAGGAACAAAATCAAATCCATGGAGGAGATGACAAGACAAGGGTGGTAGCCAGGATCAAGCTGTGGGGTGATGTAAGTCCCTCCTCTCTGTGAGCACTGTCCTTGCCCTTGGTTCATATGTTCATCATTTCTACCGGAAGGGTGGCCAGTAACTTCCTAGAGAGTTGATAGTCTTTCTGGCCCCGGTTCTGCTTCACCCACCATCACACGTGTACTTGCTCCCCCAGGGATGATTACAAAGTGCCAGTCTGATCACTCACTTTCCTTCCGATCACCAACCAAAGAGTCCCGTTACCTTCAGGATGATATCTGATTTCGTATCTTGTCACATGAGGACCTCAGGACCTGCCCCCTGTCTGATTCCCACCCTCATCTCCCAACACTCCCCAGAAGGAGCCCACTTGCCATCTTCACAGAACATGACAGGTTTTGCAAGCACGTCAGGTCTTCCAACCTGCAACACTGCTTGGAATGGCTCTCCACCTCACCCTCCTCCCTCTCGCCCCACCCTCAGCTCGCCAGCCACCTGGCCACAGTCCACTAGTAGATACCTTTCCCGCAAAGGTTTCAGGACATGTTAAGCTAATTTTTAAATAGATAATGCATTCACTTTGTCCAAAAACATAAAAATACATACAGTGAAAATACTCCCTTGTGCACCCCTTTGCCTGGTTTCCCCATTTCTGCACCCCAATGGGCAACCACTTTGTTTTGTTTTTAATGCTATGCACATGATTCTGAAGAGTCTATATGAAATTCAAGAAAATGTTTATCTTCTTTGTCCCACATAAAAGACAGCATATGACATGCACTTTTCTGAGTCTTTCCTTTTTTCTACTTATTATATATTTTGGAGCTTTTTCCATTATCAGCACATCAGTGGTTCATTGTTTATTTAATTCCCCCCCTATTGACGGACATTTGAACTATTAACCTCATTCAAATATAATGATGTTGGATGTCCAGAACATGGATATAATATAGCTAACATATTATATAATACATAGTATACTATAATATCAATTATGTATCATAGTTATATGTTATATAACTATCATGCACAGTCTTAACACTAAATAACTGTGTGCACGTGTCACTGAGAACATTTCCTAGACCTGCCCCACTCACTCACCCCCAAGCTGTACTAGGCAGCCAGCCATGAGAGCAGTTTCATAATCACTGAGTCTCTGGTCTGTCTCTCTACCAGAATGAAAGCCCCTTGAAGGCTAGAGTTGTGCCCTTTTCTTACTTGTTCATTTCTGTAAGTCACAGTGACTAGCTGAGTGATGGCACATGAATATTTGGTGAAGGAATAAATGGCCAACAAACAAGAGATTCCAAAGTCTGAAGTGGGTAAACACAAAAGGAAGAATCCACTGACCAAAAATGGCAAGAACGAATGCACTGACAAAAAACAGGAGCCAGAGTGAACTTCATCTGGGAAATGAAGGGAACATACGCAGAATGTTCTGCACAGTGCATGACACAGAGGCACTCAATAAGTGTTATTTTTGTATTGCTATTACTGATGTTCCTAAATACAATTGCTCCGTGCCTGTCCCTCTCCTGTCCAGGTTGGTCCTTCTTCAAAGGCCAGGGTCTCCATCCTGGTGGGCTGTGTCTGTTGAACGCTTAGGTGCTTAATCCCACACCTGACATCCATTTCCTGCATGAACAATCTCATTTCTATGATCTTCATAGGACAC